TTCCCAGCAGGTCCCAGTTGGAGGTGTAGGTATAAAGCCTCCCTTTGACACAGGCCCTTCAGCTGGGAAACACACATCAGCCTCTCCCACCGTGCAGCTCTACCCTTAAACAATTCTGCAGTGATGGCTTAAGGTTTGTCCAAGGCTGCCCAAAAGGTTTCTCAACTTGACTGCATCGTCCAGAGAGCTAAATGGAAGTGAGAACAGTGGCAGCTCAGCTCACAGATGCCTGTCTCTTTGGCAAAATTATCTTATGCTATAAGATAGTCTGGACTGCAGAAAAAATTGAAATAAAAAGGCAAACTAAAATCTTAGAGCTAGAAGGGTGGGACCACAGGACTGGAGTAACCACAAACAGTGCAAGTGATGGCTGGTGTGCATTAAAAGAACTGTAAGGGTGGTCATTGCAAGCACAAACTAGGTTGGTCTTGTTGTTAGTTTGAGGTGAATTTTTTTTTTAGCTTTCTGACCTAGCCATTCTTTCTTTTCCCTTCAGGACTGAATTTGGTTTTGCCCCCCCCCCCCCCCCAAGTTGGGTGTTTTTTGCTTTATATTACGTCTCCCTCTCCCCTCCTCATTCACTCTCTCATTTTCTGAGTTTGGATCTTTCTTTTTGCTTTGTAGCTGGAGTGCTCTAGAACAAATGTGAATGTGTCCACCTTGGAGATATTCCCAGGCTGCAATTTGTCCTAAAGTAGGCATCCAAATAAGACAGGCTAAGAGACTCTTAGAACAGTCCTATTTATTTCCACTAATTAGGAAGGAAGGAGAGGATGAGAAGATCAGCTGCAGATATCTCTCTGTAGGTATCTGGAGTTAGGTGAGATGTCCCTCCCCTCTGACTTAGCTTTCTCATTTCATGATGTCACCACATGCACATTGATGCTGCCCCAGTCCAGGCCCACCTGAAGAAAGAGCTCATTTCTTCCTGCTTGTTCTGTCCCTTGCAAGTGGACACAGAGGGCTCTGATTGTGCAGGCAGGAGGAGATCCCACAGTGCTGGCATGTTCAGAAGGGAGGCAGCTTTAGACAGGTAGAATTTTGGCTACCTAGGATGAAATGCTTTTGTTCCTCAAGCAGGGAATGGCCTGAATTCTCAACCACTTTTTCGTCACCTCTGCAACAAAGTACAAAGTGAATGAAAAATGCCCCAACTCTGCAGTTCTGGCTGTGTAATGGTATTTGTCCTCTGCAAACCCAAAGGTATGATATCCCAGAGTTCAAAAAAATGGAAAATCAAGACTAGTACTGCGTAAAAAGCAGTGTAAGAGATAGTCTCTCTGATGTATGGAATTCCCAGGACAGTTTTCTGCTAATCTCCCTGGGGATACCCTGCCCTCCTTTGCTGGGACACTGAAAACAAGGCTGGAGAAAGCCCAGAAAACATGCTGCAGAAATAGCCTGCATCAGACAAACTGGTGAGTCAGATAAAATGCCTCACCTTTCCTCATGAATCAGAAGCTGCTGTTAACTGGCCCAGATGTCACTGGGGTTGTGGTGCATTGCACCCACTGCGCAGAGTGAGAGTGGATCCTCTTCTTTTTACTGCTGTGGTTTAGCAGTGCCACTGCTTGACATTTTTTTTTTTTGTGCTGAATTCTTTTTTCCTTCATGATATTGCTTCTTGGTACAGTTCATTACTACATAATAACACCAGGTTGCTTCTTTTCCCTCATCCCAAAGATCAATGAAGCGCTGGTAAAGCTGCTAGGAAATAAGACATAGCTTAGCAGGGTGTAGCAGAACACAGAATCTTTCGCCTTAAAGCTTTTCAAGAGAAAAGAAGGAGAGTGATTCACTGAATTTTGTGTGAGAATTCTTATTTTTATTCAAAAAGCTAGAGTTCTTGTTTATACTTAGAATATGCACAGTCCAGCATTTGAGTTGTATGATCCCTCTCTGTTGACTTGAATATGTGATGAAGTGACCTTAAATTGTTCCTGCTGCTCCATGATCCTTGTTAGTCCAGTCTATTTCATCCATGGCAGAAATCAGTGCAGTCTCTGGCCTTCTTCAGCAGAGAGTCATCAGCCTGCTGCTATCTGCTCCCCAGAGAACATTAATGGGGACAGTGAGGCACCTCTGTGCAGTTCCTCTGCCAGCCAGGGATCTCCAGGCGCCATGGGTACTCCCTGGAAATTAGATTTGCCACTGTGGTGAGTTAACAGGGAATAGAACATGGCAGAAAATTGTGTTTCAACTTGCCTGCTTATCCTAAGAGCACGGGCAGCATGGGAACACTGGGAGCTAACCAACATCACTGTCAGCTCCTCCACCTTGAGTGTGAGCAGATTTGCTGTCCATCCTTCCTGGAGTGCTGTCAAGAGCTCATCACTGTAGGAGCTGGACACCACTTTCAGCTGCTGATTAACCAGGGTATCTGTGTGACTTGGTAGTGCAGCAGATGAGCAGGACTCCCAGTGTCTGTCTGTCCATCCCTGTGCTTGCTGTGTTATGTGCCTGTCTGTTGTGCTGTCCTGAGGGGGCTGTGAGACTGCTGACTAAAGCCTGTGCATATTTTTTGGTAGGAAGACACAAAAAGTTTTAAACACAATGAAAACAGTGTCAGACTTGGGCTCCTGAAGCCACGTTATGTCTCTATGTTGCTCTTTCACTCATTTCCATTTATGTGAGAAAACCCCAGAAATTCTGCCTTACTAGAATCTGTCAGAGCCATGGAAGAAATCAGACTTTGCTGCTGGCTAACAATAATCTTTTCACTCAAATTTAGGGGTAGATGGTTGCACACTGGGATTGTACTCTCAGCTTCATAATTCAATGTGTCTCCTGCTATGAATGCCTTGAAGAGCAGCACTAAAGGGACTCTCCTCCCTCCCAGTGATCAAGTCATTCAGGAAAATTAAAAAAGTAGGCCAAGCTTTGCCTCCCAATGATAGTTGTTATGATCCTATTTTAATCAGTAGCCTATTTTGTCTTTGGTCTGTGGTGGTAGCTGTACCAGATATAGATTGAGTCCTTGAATAGCATCATGCTTAGCTGTTCTGTATCAAGGGAAGGAAAGTCCACAGATGTTTTTGCTGACAGGGGGTTTGCAGATGCAGAGGCTGAGGCCATGGGGATGTTCCCACAGGAATTTTTCCTTCCATAAAATCAGCAGTCAGAATTTACTAAGATTAAAAGTATTTGAAGGTCCAGAAGCAAAGCCTTTAATGAAGGTGATTCAGAATGGAAAGTTGCACACAACTTAAAGGTGATTCATAAGGAAGTGGTGCTTAGGAACATGTTTAAAACCTAGGCTAAAGAGCTGAGGGGAGGAGGGAAATAGGAATGTAGCACCTACTGCCAGAAGCAAATACAAGTCTGCCATCTGATGGCATCAAATGAACCAGGCCAAAATGCATGAATGGTGTCAGTAAGGAAATTTTCACATCCCAGTTAGCATTCTCCTGAAACATGGGTATGAGGATGCTACTCCTCACAAACTAAACACTGGCTACTGAACATCCTCATTGTTAGGCTGACAGCACAGGCCTTGGTGTGATTTTTGTGTACACCAAGCAGCTTTGCATCAGACAGGCCCCAGACACAGCTACCCTGTTTGGGAGAAGAAGAGAGTTTAGCCATATGGACATAAGCTGGTGGTGCGAGTCGGCCTTAGGCCCAGGGAGCAACCCCTGGCTCATTTTATTTACTGGTACAATGTAGTTTGTTAGCCCATCACAGATGCCAGGAACTGTGCAGGGAACCCACAGTGCTCTGAATGAGATGGGTGCAGTATGTGTGAGACCAATGATATATGGTCTGTTCCACATCACTCCCTCATCCTTCAGTACTTGTTTCTTTTCCCTGTTCCCTGTATCCCAAGTGTTTCTTTCCCCTGTTCTTTATCCCAAGTCTGGATTGCTGCTTGCTTGACCTCTCCATGGGCTCTGTATGTGTGGGACTGGGACCCAGTGAGGTAAAGGCAGAGATGGCAATGGAGCAGACCAGTCACTACAGTGCACTAAGGCCCTTGTGCATTATTCCATCTTACAGCTCTGCAGCCCTGGGTCCACCACCTTGTCCTGTAAAAAGCAGTCCACACAGTACATGCACTGTTTCTGAAAGAGGCTGGGGACATGTTAGTGTACCCTGGTCAGAGCTGGGTAGTAGAAACTCCAAGATAATTAAATGTGTCCTGCTGCAATGAAGGAGGCATGGGCTAGATGAACCCAGGAGTGAGATCACTCCAGCTTGAGGGGGATTAATTTCATTTGCCTTGTTCTTACTGGCTGCCTCTGCCTTCTCCTGGGTTCTGATCCTCTGTCTAGTTCATTGGGGGACAGCTCCTAGCAGTAGTTTTAGCTTCTCTTGTGAATGGTTTGCCAGAACAAGGTGTCTGACTGACAGGCAGAGCTAGCTCCCAGTTATACTCAGTGCTTCCCCCCAGGGCAGCTTTGCTTTTGAAAGGAGAGACTAGAAAACTGGAGAGATGTGGCAGCCTCTGGATGAAGGCTCCCATTCTTGAAGGCTACAGACATTTCTCTAGATCTCTGTTCAGTGTGAGAGAAGTCTGAGTTACAAGGTATAAAATTTTTCCCTCTGGGTCTTGCAGGCTTCAAGTGTGTATAGTTTGTTCTTTGTGACTCTCTTTCAGTCTCATCTGGGAGTATCCATGTTGTAATTGGGGGACAGTGTTTGGTACAATCAGTGGGTTCTGTAAAGGGATGTGTGATCTAGCTGATAAGCCAGGAGTCTAATCAGTGCTTCTAATGAAATGAACAGGAGTTGTCTGGGGCATCAGCAGTGAGCGAGGCAGCTCCTTCCAGTGGCACGTGCTTTCTGGCTGAAGGTGTTTTGTGAGAGTTGTGTTACATGTTTGCCTGCTGGGCTGAACCCTGGCATGTTCTTTTCATGCAGCAGAAATTCCAGGGACTCTGAGACCTGGGTGACTTTGGAGAGAGGGAAGCCTGAAGCCATGCAGTTCATCGGGCTGTGTGCACATGCAGGATGCTCTAGATCATGGCTGACTAACGCTGGACCATCTCTTTCCCCACTAGATGCTGTAGAAGAAACCAAACCTACTGAAAGTGCCCAGCAGGAAGAGGTGAAAGAAGAAGAGAGCAAGGCGGACCAAGAAAATGCCTGAACATTAAGAAATGACTCCCCACTGCCCCTCCCTCCCTCCCCCTATCCTCTATCCTTCCTTCCCACCCCAATCTCGATTTTCCCCCTTCCTGCTCACATCTGTGAGCCTGTGTCTGTCCCTCTCCCATTACCACTTAAACCCTTTTTCTCTCTGTGTGGCAAACATTTAAAGAAAAAAAAAAAAAAGCAGGAAAAATCCCAGTCAAACAGTGTGGCTTAAACATTTCTTTGTTTCTTGGTGTTGTTATGGCAAGTTTTTGGTAATGATGATCCAATCATTTTGGGAAAATTCTTGCACTGTATCAGAGTTCTTTGACCTGGCGCGTGCGTGTGTCTGTCTGCCCACTGCGAGCGCTCGCTCTCTCTCTCTCTCTCCTCTCTCTCTTCTCCAAGTGCGTGTGTGTGCAATGTTACGTTCATCTGAGGAGTCCAGACTTACCGAGTGAGTTAAAACAAAAGAAAGGGGAAAAAAAGGTTCTTTTCTTCCTTTTTCAATGTGATGGAATGAACGAAAGAAAAAACAAACAAAAGACCAAACACAACAAACAAATGAACAAAAAAGAGTACTAAACCCCAGTTTGTTTTCAGAACTAAAGTAACAACTAGAAAATGTGCCAATTAGCGTAATGCTTGGCTCCAGGCTCCTTTTTCAAACTGAACAATAATTATAATAAATGAGAATAATTATCATTAATACCACCGTGTCGCATTTCTATGCTGCTGTACATCCTGCTAAACTGTGGTCTTTGGTGGGCCACTTCTTGTGTGGCCCAGCTGTGCTCCTTGGCCACAAGTCAGTGACTGTCTGCTCTCCTTGGCACTGCTGAAGGGATTTTAAGGGGAGCAGGCTTGGAGTTTGAGCGAGATGTTAGCACTTACTAACATAAATAATGAAAGTAGCAAGATCAGTTTTAGGAAAGATCATTGAAAGCATCTCTCTAGGAGACCTCCAAGCCCTGATTTGGGGAACTGTGCTGACCTTGGAGGTATGAGCCTGTAGAGGGACCAGCTTTGATGTATGCCCAAGGTCTAACCCCTGCCAAGGGCTGTGCCAAGGGCTGTGAGGAGACAGGGCCCTAGGAACTCATCTTCTTACCACAGTAGGATGATGCTCATCCCATTGGGCTGGAGTCGACGTCCTTGAGTAGCATAGCGTGACCCCCCAAAAATGTTCTGTTTGGCAAAATGAATTGGGCCAATTGTTATTCAATATGTTATTCAATATTTATTGAATAAATAGGCACACAGGCAGGACAAGGCCTGGTGGCCTAGGAGCCAGTTGGTGGCACTTTGAGAAATACCTCATTCCTGCTCCTGCTGAACCCAGGGTGTTTCACCCAGCTCTAAGGAGGGCCAAGGCTTTCAGCTGTCATTTATGGCTGTAAGCAGAGCCCCACCTCCTAAATCTCTGCCACTGCTTCCCACAGGTTGTGGGGCTGTTCCCTGGTGCCACCCGGCCTGTCCCAGTGGAACACTGACAGACACCAAATCCCGAGCTTGTGCAGCCATCTGGGTCTGCTGCTGTCTTTATGAGCTGTGAGAGAAAACAGTTAAAATACATTTAGTAATATCTGGGCTTTCATAAAAGCTAATTGCTGCTCTTTTACTGCCCTGATTTTTTTAATGTGCTTTCCCAGCAGCTCCTGTATGGTTTCCTGGCCTCATTGGCAATGACAGCCAGAGTACCCTGCAGCATAGCTGTGTGATGCTGCAGGACCAGGATTAAATTGTCCTCACAGCAGGAAGACCAAAGGATGGGAATGCTGACAGCTCCAACGTCCTTTGGTGGCTGATGTTTCTTGGAGTGGCAGCCCCATGGCCTTCAGAGGGCTGGCTTGCACTCCTTGTCCTACTCCTTTGTTCTCCTCCATCTCTTTGTTGGAAATAGGGAGAAAAGATAAACAGTGTCTCCTCAGAAATGGTCACAATGAACGTAGACTGCCCACTGGAAGTGCCATCAAAACACGTCAGAATTCATTTCCGTGTGCTTCCTGGCATTCTGTAGAAATAAGAGAGAGAGAGATAGGGAGGGTTTTTTCTAAAGAGAGGGAAAGAGAGAGTGGGAGATAGATTGGACAAAGATTTTTAAAAACAGGGATTAGAGAGATGAGGGGAGAAAAGATTTTTGAGTGGATAGATGGATGATAGGGAGAGAGAGGGGAGTATAGCTAGAGAAAGAAAGATTAGAGTGCAAAAGATGAGAGAGAGACAGGAAGAAATTAGATAATATGGAGCAATAGATGATTGATAGAGATAGTGAAACATAGATAGCTAAAGTAGATTAGACAGACTAAATAGGTAGAAAGATGGGCTGACTGACAGATAGGTATTGTGTCATACTTCATAAATGATATATATGCTAATATTCCCATGTCATGATGGGTGGTAAACCCTGAGACACCTTCCAGCCTGACCTCAATTTGGCAAATGTAGCGCAGACATCAGGCATTGCTTGGACCGTATGTCAGGTCTCACCAGCCGGCCCGTGCCTGCCACAGCAGCAGCAGGGTGTGGATGGTGTTGGGAGGGAGAGCTCTGAGGGACACGGGGCCGAGGCCTAGGGAGGAGAGGTGTACACTATGTTTGCTGTTCGTAGCACACAAGGGGCCCAGCCCAGCGCAGATGGTGCAGACACCCCGTGTCTCTAGCACCAAGTTGAGAGAACTGAGGTTCAGCTCTCAGGATTTGTGGGAGAGGTGTTTGGGAGGAGGCAGGAAGGAGGGGCCATGTTTTTTGTTTGGCCTTATCTCCTGTCATGACCATTTTAAAAAGTTTTCTGTCTTGCCTGTTTCTGCAAAGACCATGTGGCTTCCCCGCTCTTCTGATTTCAGACTCCAAAGTTTTCATCTTGCCTCCACTTTGCTATTACTATTTTTAACTTTATAAGGAAAAGAAAACCACTTCTCATGTCTTCCTGGACACAGGCCTTCCTCCCTCCTCAAAAAATTAAACAGCTTTCTCTCCCCAGGGACATTTTACCTTTGTATGTCGCATGTTGCCTCCCCTTTGGCCGATGGTTGGGGCATCACGCGTGTTTTGTCACCATTAGTAAGAACACACTTTGCCATGTTGCTTAGAGAACAAAGGGTTGGGTTTTGTGTTTTGGTTTTTCCCCCCACAAAGAGAACAGGATATGTGGTTACCAACTGCAAACCTAAGTAATTTAAATACTAATTCCTCTCCCTTGGTTCCAATATAAAATTACTGGCTGTAACCAAGCACTCCCTATCTTTATTATTGTACCGTGTCCTGATCCTGCCAGAGAGTCAGGGCAAAGAGAGCGTGAGAGAGAGCACAGAGACAAACCCTGCCTTGAGCAGGCAGTGGTTTAATGTGTAATACACAAGATTTGTATAGGAAGCTGGGCTGTCTTCAGGGTACAGGAAGAGAGCAGAGAAAAGCATTTGGATTTCCTTGAGTTGCCTCTTCAGCTAGATTTTCAAAGGCTAAAAGGAAACACTATAAAGGATGCAGCATGGGATAGAAACTGGAAAGAGAACAAGGGTATTTGAGGAATGATTTTTCTAGCAAGACATCAAGTAAGCTGAAAGCAGAAGATGCAGGAGGTCCCAGAAGTAAAGAGTGGGGCAGAGTCATCAGCAGAGTGGTTGAAGCTTTTCTACTACTCCTGCTGTAACAACCTACAGGAATTCCCCATGGAGTATATGTCTAATTCTCTCTCTCTGAAGAGGATATAGGTTTGCCTGGAGGTGCCTGTGGTTGTTATTTGGTGTAAGAAAAGGGCAGGGCATTTCAGAGTCACTCACACTGGGAATATGGTGCCTGACCTCATCATGCAGTGCTGTGGAAATTCAGAGTCCTAGAGGGGCTTTTTCCATGTCCCTGTTGTAAGATACACTAGTGACCCACAGCTATCCTGAATGCTCCTACCAGCTGTAGCTCTTGACATTTCACTACTACATTTCACTAGACTAAGCTTTGAAGAAGTGAAAAAAATTCCAACATAAACTCCCCACCAATGCAGTAGATTGTAAGCATGAATTCAGTCTGCTTTGCAATGCTTGTGCCATTCTGGCTGCCTTTACTGATAGCAGATGAAACCCCACAACCCTTGCAATAGTTGCATCAGCCAGGGAGCTTTTCTGTGAATCACATTCCAAAGGGAGGGGAAGGGCATCCTTCTGAGATCCCTTCAGACCCAGTGCTTTCCAATCCTAAACGCTCATGCAGCCCCATGAGAGGCTTTAGCCATAAGGAACTCACTTGTAGTGACCACATAAACAGCATTGCTTGGGAAACATGTTACTCTAGATAAAAGAAATAGCCATGACTGATGGAGAGGAATTTAGAAAAAAAGGAAAGAAGAAAAAAAGGAAGAGGGAATTCATACCAAACTCCCCACAGGAGTTATTTCTTTTTTTTCTGTGGTCTCCAAACAGCAAACTAGCACTTGTGAGTTTTCATACTGAAGGTCTGTTGCTTGTCTTAGGAAGGAAATGGAGTGGCTGTGGTTGGCAGAGGTGGAAGGAAGGGTTTGAATGAATGTTTTTGTGGTTCCTCTTGGCTAAGAAGTCTGCTTGGTGGTCACCTGCAGCTCAGTGGCACCACAGGTGACGTTGGGGGTCCTCTTCCAGGCCTGTGCTCAGATTCCCTGCTTTTCTGCATTGCCACATTAGCACTTTCACTGGATATTTAGAGCACCTCAGGACTGGTTCTCCTCTCGCTCACACTGGGGTAACTCAGGAGTCGCTCCACTGGAAGCAGTGGTGTTAATCTGGTGTGAAAATAATGCGAGAGGAGGATTCAACTCCTCGGGGGGGGATTTTCCAGGTCCCCGAGGGGGAAAAAAAATCAATGGGAGTTACATGTTTAACTGCCACTTGTGCCTGTGAAAGTCTGCCCCTTATCTACCTATATGTATATAGGGTACAGTTTTCAGAATAACCTAAGTGACATGGGCACTTGAGAGCACACATTTCACTGGCTTTCAAAGAGATGCAAGTTCCTAAGGCCCAGATGCTGAAGGATGTCCAAACTCCTCTCTGCGGCGCATTTGGGGGTCTCAGGCCTGAAATCCTCCAGTAACTTCCCAAAATGGAACTGAAGATCATGAGTCATTTAGGTGGTCCTGAAAGCGCTACCCTCTATCCATTTTTCAGGGTGTTGATCTCAGGTCATGTGCGAGCCTGCATTCTTACCTACAATGCTTTATTACTACATTCTTCTGTTGAGCAATACTTGGAAGAAGAGGTGAAGGTCGAGATTTGCAGAACAGGCTAGTAACCCCAGTGGCTCACATCTGGAGTGCCCAACTTGAGAGACACCTCACTGGGGTCCAAGCCACAGGTCCCCTGTATGCTCTGAACATCAAGATTCATGTATTACACACCCAGAACCACTGGTCACTTCTAAAAAATCAGAAATCCCAGCCTGAGACCTAGACTACTCTCACAAAAGAAAATCCCAGGTGAACTGTTCACCCGATAGCTTGGTTTTTCTGCTCATGCCTGTTCCCAATAAATAAAACAAATCCCTGTGCATCACCTAAGCCCTATTTTGAGGAGTTCCACTGGCATACAGCTGAAGTAACACAGTAATAAATCGGGGCCTGAAGAAGGTGGCTACAGCCTAGAGAGTATCAAGAACTGTGACGTGTCTGGAAGATAAAAAGAGCAGAACTTGACAATTAGAGCGGCCCATTTCCGATGCTCTTGTGTGAGGATCTGGAAAGAGTCTCTCACTCATTGTACTTGTGCATTATGAATGTGTCCATCTGCAGAGATCTAATGTACACATATGTCCTGAATATTGTCCTAAGGTTGCAAGCTTCAAAAATGAGCAGAAAACATTCCCGAGAAGTGAGAATAATACAGATGTCTGTATTTGAAAAATTGGTTCAAATAAAGTCTCTCACTTATAAATTCGTGTAGTTGTGTGCAATTATTTGCTCCTGGAACAGAAATTTCTCCCTTGTGTAGGACTTTGTTTTTTTAAAAAAAAAAATCTCATTTCATTCTCCCTTGACCTTCTCAGTCAAGTCTGACTACTGTGGAAAAATGCTTTCTACTTATTCTGTCTGGGTAAAAAGCTATGTTACATTGAAATGGTGAAGTAAAAGGCCATACAGGCCAGTATGCTTTTATTGTGGTTAATATCCCTTGAGGCAGAATATGTAACTGGCCTGATGGATGATGTGGTCACTAAAGTCCTGGGTTTTTATATAATGTGACACAGACATCCCCACAGATGCTCTGACCCAAGAAAGGCCTGTGGCTGTCGGGGCATTGCCTGGAAACTGTCTGGAAAAAGCTGAACTGAGAAACGCTGTGCTTGGGCACCACAGAGCTGTAAAATGTCCATGGCAATATCTGGGCCTGGGATGTTCTGAGTCAGGGAATATGCTTGGATGTAGAAATGGGAATGGGGGTTACCAACCAGTAATGGTTGGACCTCTGGGGATCATCCAGTCCAACCCCTCTACCAAGCCAGGGTCGCCTAGAGCAGATGGCACAGAAGCCAGAATATCCTCAGAGAGGGAGAGCCACGACCTCCCTGGGCAGCTTCTCCAGTGCCCTGCCACCCTCAGTGGAAAGAAGTTAGGCAACTTTGTGCAAGCTTATCTAAAGATATCAGATTCCTCATTGGATTTAAATCTTCAGTAGCTCACTGGGAAACACCAGAAGTATTTGAGACAGAAATATATATTTCAGCGGCCAAGAAGCCCCACCAATTATTTCTCTCAGTATCAAGTTTGTGCCAAATGCAATGATATAAGAACAGAGTAGGAATTGCTGCCTGGGCTGTGCTAGGCTTCTGACTTAATCCTGAGCTGTATCTGACAGCAGCTCAAGAGCAGAGCTGAAATCAAGCATTTTTGTCACATCTATTCATCCCAGGAAGCTTTACAACCACTGTTTAGAAATCACTTGCAACTCATCTATGAAATGCAGCAGCTGGCTTAGCAAGGGCCCAGAAATTCCTGATGAGGCTCCAAGGAGCTGCCTGGGAAACAGAGCAGACCTCAGCACCTCACATGGGTTCTGGACAAAGTGCCAATTTACAAATGACACAATTAGATGTCTGTATTCTTGTATATAATCATCAGTTGCCTCATGGCTTCTCCAAAAAAGGCGTGGACTACATCTTGTGTGCAAACAAATATTAAGCATTCAAAATCAAGTGGTTTCAATTAGTCACATCACTAGATTGCAGGGATCAGCCCTGGCAGATTGGCTTTGCTTCTGTGGGGCAGAACACCTCTGAAAGGATACTCAAGGACCTCTCTCCAAGTAAATGGTTGTCTTGAGGTAGCAAGGCTGCCTTGCACTCTTTTATCTGCTGCACAGCAGAGGGGGAGGGAAGGAGCTGAATAGTTGGCCCAGGGCATGTGTGTCAGCTGAATGTAAAATTCAGCCTAATGCAAATCTCCACCTGAGACTTCCTAACAAGGCACACGAAGTTTGCCCTGCAAGATTTCCAGAGTCATATTCATGCCACTGTGAGAAGAAATAAACTTTCTGCCTGAATTGTGGAAAATGGATCCATGACTCACCTTGGGTGTTCAACCTCCTCCAGCTGCCCAGGTGAACTCCCTTTGGATATCTTGCCACATTCATGGAATACAGCAGCAAACTTCCCCCAGTTTCTGAGTGAGCAAAGTGTTTCCCATTTCTTTGGTGTTCCCCTGGCTTGTCCCACTCTGGGCTGGGGAAGACTTCCTTTCCTTGGGGATATTGCAATAGGAACTTCAGGTTTTCCTGCTTTTTGACAATGCCAACAGCTTCACAGCACACTTGCCACCTTTATTGCTCTAGTGAGGTCACAGGCAAAAGACCATTGTTTCTCATAGAATCACTCAGATTTCTAAGTCTGCTTTCCTTTACTCAGCAGGGTATATGAAACCCTCTGTAATGGACATTTACAGTCTCCCAATCTGCAACACTTTGTCCCTTTTAACCAGTACACAGAGCTGGCATCAAGTTTGAACAGGGCTACTCCCTTGTTGAAAATGAGCAGAAAAAGCGAAAGGAAATGATGCATTTCTGTACCTAAGATCACTTTTGTTTATTAAAAATGAAATTACTTTTCTCCATGAAAGGCCATTTTTATATATTAAAGAGGAAATACTTTTCCTCTAGCTTGGCATGAAACTGCAAACATTAATAATAAGAGAAGCAAGGAAGTGAAAGCCCATTTGTCTCAGAGGAACAGCACTGTGGCTGACAGGCAAGGTTTGCAGAGAGGTGGTAGCTTGTACCAGACAGACTGGGGCACTTGGGTCTCTGCAAATGCATCAGCCCGCAGCCCAAAATACAAGCTGTATGTAGCTGGAAAGGCACTGCTTAATTTAATTATGGTAGTTGATTAAGCAAGTTATGAGTAAAATGTTATTAGCATTTCAGGAGCAATGGGTGGATGCTAAACCAAGAGAGAGAGAGAAGCTTCATTATCTGTGGTGAGAGAGAGGAAGGCTGGTACAGGTCATCAGTGGCTGCATAACGAGGAAGAGTTAATTGGGGTGAACTGAAAACTGCTGGTGAAGCCTCTCTCTGCTGAGCCCATAATTATGCTTTTCTTACCTTGAGATAGTCATCTTCTGAAGGGTTTTGTGGCCATCCTTAGGACCCTGGGCCAGAAAGGGAAAACAATTTCTGTCACTGGAGGTGAGGTCTAATGGAGAGGGTTCCATTTCCCCCTCTACACTGGATGTCCCCATCCTTGGCTATTTATCCATGTACAGTCTGTGGCTTAAATTTCAATGAATCCTCACTCAACACCTGTCTGTGCAGCAGCTCATTGTTTAAGTGAGGAGATGAATTTCACTGTGGATGCTGTGGTGCAGAGACTCCTTCCTTCTGTTTGCCCAGGTCCTGAATCTCTCCTTCTTGGGTCTCTTTCCTTCTGAGGCAGACCTGAGTGATTTAGGAAAAACAGTGAAAGCTAAGAAACTGCCACGAGTCCTGGTGGCCTAAGGGGATGCTGGTGTCTGACAGCACAGACACCTTGAGCTTTTGGATGGGGAAGACCAATGTTCCTGGAGAAGATATTTCTGAGGGGCAGCTCTCAGAGTGATGACAGGTCACTTTCTTTAGCAGGCACTTAAAGACCAGAAGACAATTCCTGTTTGGCTGGCAGCACCCAGCAAAAGGATGAGCAGTTCCTGCATGCTACCACTTTGGCTTCCTTGACTCCACTGCTTCACAGCAGCAAAGAGAGAGAAGACCTACAGCTGTGGGTTGTGTTCCCCAGGCTCTTCTCCCTGCATGACAGCCAAGCCTGGTGCCAGACCCTCCACAGGGCATGCTTGGCAGTCAGGGCTGGGAGAACAGGGTGCAATGCAGGCTGCATGGTCTGGGAAGGCCTCACATGCTGACTGGTCTCTAGAAAAGAGCCAAAGGGCAATCCCCAGCCCAGGGAAGGGTTCTGCTTGCCCCAGGGCACGGGCTGTGGCAGGCCTGTGGCTGGGGAGGGTCTCTGTCTCTGCCTGGCCTTGCCCTCTGGGCTGCTGGCACACGCTGCCTGCGGCCCTTGCTGCCGCGCAGGCCATTAATAAGACTTTCCAGCCTGTCACTTCCACGCTGAATCCTTTGAAAGCCACGCTCCTCTGGGCCCATTAGAGGGAGGAACTGTCTCTGTTGAAACATATGGGGCTGTCAGGCTCTGTCTGTTGCTCTGAAAGCCGCCGCCGCTCTCGTGTTTGCTGCTGGGGGGGCAGCAGCTGTCTGGAGGAGGCTGTGATGAGGATGGGGACTTGGGAAGGGGCTGGGGGAAGACAGCAGGTGAGGTGGGAAGGATGCTGGAAATGCTGGGAAGGTAAACAGTGTGCTGATAGCTGGTGGGCTGCTGTAGGACATTGGGATGCTGGGCAGCTCAAGGGATGCCTCATGCTATGAGTGTGATGGGGGAAGAAGTACATCTGAGGATATATTGGGTAGTAGTAGTAATATTGGGGTGGGGCATGTAGGGGCAGGCTGAGGCAGCAGGAGACACAGCTGACAGCAGAGATGTTTGACTTGTCTGGGAAAGGAGAGGATGGCAGCAGTTTTGGTGACTCTATGGGGACGCTGCAAAAGGGAGGCTTTGGGAAGCATCATGCGGTCACACGGCACTGGAGTTTCTCATTAAGCAGCACACCCACCCCCCAACTCCATTTGCAGAAACTGAACAGGATTTAATGGAGTCCCTTGACTTTTTCCTCTGAAATATTCATAGGTTTTAGCAGTCTATTTTATGCTCACCTCCTTCTCCATTAACGAGCATCGAAGAGGGACTGGGTGGAAAGTAGGCTGCTCTGGAGCCAGGGAGACAGAAAAAGGGACCTGTGCCTCTGCCCAGGGACTGCTGAGAAGCAATCCACTCCTGGGCTGCTCCACGGCCTCTCACTAGGCCTGCAAAATGACTGGAAATGAGCCCTGGGCAGCATGCACAGGGAGGTGATTAATACAGTGGGAAAGGAAGGAAACCAATTAAGCAGAGCGCTGTCTGGAGCTGCTGCCCCCACCCGTCACACAGATACACCCACGTCTGCCTCCCTGCCTGTCTTCATAATGTGCAAGGCCAAGAGCTCTGTAAGAATGGCACAGGCTGACAAAAATGCCTGGAGGCAATTAGTTCCCTCCTCACCTCAGCACTAATGCTGTGCTAGGATACAGGGAAAGTCCAGAGCTTCCATGAGACAGCACTGAAGCACCGAGGCTGGATTATGGATGCCCCATGCAGTCTGCAGTACTTGGCACAGCAAGGATCCTGCTGGGAAGTTTGGAGAAAGGTTGTGATAAATAGTGCAATTGCACTCTTTATGGGATGTGAAATGTCCCAAATGGTCGGGGTAGGTGGGATCTCAGAGCATTTTCCAGACCTGTTAGGTACTAAACCAGGGCTCTAACAGTCTAACTGACATACCCTCACCGAAGTCTACAGCCAA